GTCATTTTGTGACTTGAAATGGTTGAATTTTAATTATACAAGCTGAAGAATAATATAAGGTGAATACGTTGCATTAGTTTTCCAACAACGAGCAAGTGGTCTAGTGGTAAAGACTACACGCTGTGTGATGTACCGTTGTGCTTCAAGTCCTTCAGAAGTTATTTTGTGACTTGAAATGGTTGAATTTTAATTATACAAGCTAAAGAAAAATATAAGGTGACTAAGTTGCATTAGGCTTCTAACAACAAGCAAGTGGTCTAGTGGTAAAGAGTACACGCTGAGTGATGTACCGTTGTGGTTCAAGTCCTACAGAAGCCATTTTGTGACTTGACATTGTTGAATTACAAGCTAAAGAAAAATATAAAGTGGATAAGTTGCTTTAGGCTTCCAACTAGTTGCAAGAGGGATGTTACACTATGCAAAGATTTAAAAATGCGTTGCAGCGTTGCCGCAATCGTTGCAAGAAGTAGAACCTGATTCTAATATTGCTGGACTTGTTGATTGCAAGACATGATGACCTTGCAATTTTGCGTGCAACTTTTAATTGTCGCAGGAAAATTGGGGGACAATTTAGGTTTGATTCCACCTCAGAGAGTAAAAGGTTAAATAAAATCAAAAGTGCCAGCTAACAAGCAATAGGCAGGATGGTCAAGTGGTCTCCGCTAAGTGTCCCATGTCGGTGTAGTGAGGATCGTTTCCTGCCCTGACAAGGACCTTTTGGTCTTTGTCAGGAGTACGAATTAATTATAGGGTAGAGAAAAAGGATTAGCTATGACAGAAAACATTACGATTTCACCAACAGACCTAGTAGTCTAGAGGTACCACTCAAAGCCTTTGGGTGCTATGGTGGAAGGATCGAGTCCGGGTAAGACCGGCTGAGACTTCGTGCTCAGGTAATCGATCTGACCGGCCGTATGCGGAGTGAGACGAAAATCGGGGGTTCTGTTTCCCGGAAACTTCTGAGGAAAAACCTTGGCGTATCTTGCTCAAAGCGGCGAGGAAAAAGACTTAGTAAAATTTTTCCTCTTCTCCCGGCCCCCTCAGCCCTCGCCCTTCTTCTCCTTTGCCCCCTTCCCAACCGCACGCTGTCATATTCCCAGTCTACCGCGCATGCGCCACACAATGGTAACTACTAAAGAGAAAATGCTGTGCTGAGTGGTTATATTACTACCTTAAAAAACAAGCAGAAACTCGACGTTTCGAGCGAAGGCCCTTCGTCAAGAGTTAGTAGCAGACTACTAACTCCTGACGAAGGGCCTTCGCTCGAAACGTCGAGTTTCTGCTTGGTTTTTAAGGTAGTAATACAACCAATCAGCACAGCATTTTCTCATTGGTACTACCTACACTGGTACAGACAGTTTTAGTATAACTACTAAAGATTCATTTCAATGGTAGTATCTTCTCCAAACATTTGCCCCGCCGCTATTTTCTTTTGTCATCTTCTTTTGTCCGCTATCTCTTTTTCGTTTTCGTGATTATTCTTTCATTCGTCCTCGAACCGATCCTGAAACACGACATTGGCTTTTACAGTCCGATATCGCTACCATTAGACCACTTGCTGTCTTGCTCGTTGTTGGATATCTACCGCAACTTATTCACGTTAACCTTCTCACTCTGGCTTTTGCAATTGATGTACGACACATTTCAAGTCACAAAATGACTTTTGTAGGACTTGAACCACGACGGTGCATCACACAGCGTGTAGTCTTTACCACTAGACCACTTGCTCGTTGTTGGAAGCCTACAGCAACTTATTCACATTATTTTTTGTCTAGCTTGTACAATTAAAATTCAACCATATTCAAATTACAAAATGGCTTCTGTAGGACTTGAACCACAGCTGGTACAGTACCTAGCCTGTAGACTTTACTACAAGCCCACTTGCTCGTTGTAGGAAGCCTAGCTCGACTCATTCACCTTATTTTTTCCCCTTGGTTTGTATAATTAAAATTCAACCATTTCAATTCACAAAATGACTTTTCTAGGACTTCAACCACGAAGGTACATTACACAGCGTTTAGTCTCTGCCACTAGACCACTTGCTCGTTGTTGGAAGCCTAACACAACTTATTCACCTTATTTTTTCCCCAAGCTTGTGTAATTAAAATTCAACCATTTTCAAATCACAAAATGACTTCTGTAAGACTTGAACCACAGCTGGGACATTACACAGACTGTAGACTTTACCACGAGACAACAAGCTCGTTAATTTTTTAAAACCCAGCAATAAACTTTTTAATATAAAATAAGGGCTAACGTTTCACCATTTTTAACCACTTTTCTAAGAGTAAAAAATTGCCAAAAAGTTAGGGGATTACCTAAACTAACTTGGCTGTTGCTTGGAGAATCTGTTTTGTGTAACCTTTCACTGGATCATTTAAAGTAGTTAACCGACCTCACATAGCCTGTCAAAAACTAAAATATTTTTATCGTCAGAATGGTTTGATCTGCATCGTCACCATCGTCGCGACACTATGAACGGACCGCTAGACTATCGTGTGTACTGATGATTGTTTCGGAAAGTATTTCTTACCAAATCGTGCATCGCCAAATTATGCGAAATAAATTAGGTTTCAGCTGCACTTCTTGGCAATTTGGTGAAATTGTTGGCCACCAGGAATCGACCCTGGCTTCACACACTTGCAATACTTCGTCCTTTCCACTACACTATCTTGCCTCCAGCTGCTTTATGTTCTTTATGTTTTAAAGTAAAGTCTTTAAAATTTTCTTGATAAAAATTTAAGGCTCATGAGTTGTTCGTGACTCATTTAGGCTGCAGCTTATTAGGCCGAGACGTATAACTATCGTGGACAACTCAAAACATTGCTCTTTTACATGCTTCAAATGTCGGGGCTTAACTCGAGCTTCGAATGTTTTCAATGACTCCGAGTTAAGCCCCTCTTTTTTCACGGTGCTTAACTCGAACTTTCCAAGTTGTGTTTCTTTCTTCGAGTTAACGGTGCTTAACTCGAACTTTCCAAGTTGTGTTTCTTTCTGAAAATCCGTGTGCTTTGGGCGTGGTAGAGGCTTAACTCGAAGGGCCTAACATGAAGAGCTTAACTCGAAGGACTTAACTCGAAGGACTTAACTCGAAGGGCTTAACTCGAAGGGCTTAACTCGAAGGGCTTAACTCGACGGGCTTAACTCGAAGATTACCTGCCTCCAGGAAACATTCATTGTGAAGATAGCGATTGAAAATCCCAGGTAAGCGTTGTTTGTCATTATTGTTTTACTGAAAAATGTTGTTCACTCCTATACAAGGGTCATTTTTAACTCGTTTTGAGAAGTTATTAACGATACCCTAGACTATAGAGCATAGTTAACTTACTTTTTAACTGCAGTTAATTAGCGCTAAAATTAAAGGAATAGCTCAGCATTTTGAATCATGGTTTTTAAGGCGCATTACAACCCTAAAGACCACGTTACAACTACACTTTTTTCAACTCAGGACCACCTTAAATGGTTAATGGTATGGATTTCAAGTTTGTTTCTCACGGGCTATGGTCAGAGGAGCAGAACGGTTAGGTGGAACACGCGGACATGCAGACACGCGGACATGCGGACACGCAGGTCAAATGGAAAACGCGGACATGCGGACACGCTGGTCAAGTGGAAAACGCGGACATGCGGACACGCAATTTACTATACTTCAAAAAATCCATTACAATAATTTTTTACTTACAGTTTTGAAGATTCTGAAAAATCCACTCAGAATCTTTACAAAATACAAAACAACGGCAATTCAGAAAAGAAACGTTTTCATATATTCAAGTTTCAACTACATATGTTTTAATCGTCATCACGAACATACACATACGTATATATTATGATGTCTTGTGATGGTTTACTTCCTTGCTTCAAGGTTAAGTTCTAAGTGCAAAATTGTAGCTGATCATGACTAACTTGTAATTGCCGATCAATACTATGGGTACGGTTGATCGCACGCGCAGGTATAGTTTTGCAACTATTTATGCCATCGGGATCATTATTATGATATGGAATGCCCGTCCATTTTGACACTTCGCACCTCCTTTAATCCTTTGTAATCCTTCCTCACAATAGGTGATTAATTAATTAGTCCCACTGGGACGGGACCTCTCAGTACAGTCAAAGCATTTACAACTGGACGACTTGCGCTTTAGACTAAATTTTAATCTAAGTATAGTTTAATCTAAATCTATCACAACAGCTAGAAAGAGTGTCTTGGAATTAGTGGTATTATTTGGTTTGGTTGCGAAATGTTGTAAAATACGGAAAATATAGCCCTTCAAATTTGGCAAATTTGTATACTTTTGTATTACGTGCGGGAACTCTCGGCGGAGAGGTGCTAGAACTCTCGGCGGTGCTGGAACTCTCTCCCTCGTCCGGTTTCAACCAAAATTTTAAATCCCTCGTCCGGTTTCAACCAAAATTGCAAGTCAAAAACAATGGCATACTACGACTTGTAGTGCCGTTTGGAAGCGTTGGAAATGTTATTTGAGCCAATCAGTATCCTACTTGAATTTCTTCTTGCTGTGGACACGTGTATACCGAAACAGGAAACCTGACTTTAGTCGGTGCTGCTCAACCGTGCGACGAGACAGCGGGAGCAACTGTGAACATTAGGGATAGTTGGTGAGGGTTGGGAAACCTAACCTTAACCAATCACGCTAATCGTTAACCAGATCGGCCAATCAGAGGCGATTCTATGGAAAGCCATTAACGTACCTTACCCTAACGCTTCCGATATAACACTGAGATACGTTCGTATTTATGTACGTCGGTGTATGTATATGGCGGGCATGTGGGACGCGTTGATCGATTATGAAGAAGAACATCGGTAATTTTTTAACTAAAAGCAACCAAAGTCGTGCTGCTTTTCACACGTAAATTATACTAAAATCTTTCCTTAATCATTAGAGGTCTTAGAGCGACAAATATTTTTCCATTTCTGTTCAAGAGAAATTTTTGAATTTTAAACAGTCTTGCGCATGTGCACAACTACTTAGAATTCGTAATATTTTATCAGAGCACGGTAATATTTTTATTTTTTTAACAATAAATCCGATTTAGATTTTAGTTAACACATACTTGATATTTTCAAAGTCACTTGGGGGCTAAGTACTTTTTTTCGTGGTTCTGATATGATCCAAACTTTATACTTTTCACAGACTTTATATTCTGATCGTGAGCAATTTAATGATGGATTTAATAATATGCATGCGAATTACAATACTGCCTGCACACATTACAGCATGTGAAACACGACAACATATTGCTTTTGCTTTCATTTCAACACGTTTTATATTAAGGGTATTAGGTCGCCGAAAAGTAAATTTGGAATCACGCGACCACTTCGAGACCATTTCGAGACGCACGCGTCTTAATTAAGAAAGGAGTGCCGAGCGGATTTGTTTGTTCAACAGATGAAAGTAAGAGCGGTTATGGCTGCTACAAGATGCGGATGGTTTTGGAGCATTGTTTGGGTTTTGATATTATTGGTATTAGCTTGGCCATTGGGACTTTTGGCGGCGATATTCTACGCAATGTTTGCACCATTTGCCGCATGTTGTAACGCGTGTGTTGATCTTACGAACTTCTTGAAGAAAGCCATGGAATTCCCTTATAAGGCCGGACAGAATATAGTAAAAGGCGAATCTGGATGCTGAGGAATGTAGGCCTATTCGAACGTTTATACACAGATTGAGCCAGTACAATGGAGAAAGGCAAAGGCAAAGAACATTTTTGGAGATAATTTTGACGATATTGACACCTCGTACTTTGTCTTTGTGCCATTTCCGATGTCTATATGCACCGAAATTTTATTACATTTTAATCAGACAGCTCTTCGGTTCATTTCAATGGTAGGATATTAAGTGACTCATGGATGAATTACACTACATTAGATGATAAATCTGCTAAAAAGCTATATCAGTATATGTCTATGAAGTGTATTAAATATGCTTATTAATAGATAGTTTTAAAGTCGGATGAAGCTGCAGATCAGCTTGAAAATATGTTGATTTTCTCACTGATAATTTAATATCAATACAAGTAATGTCACGTCTGGTCACTATGGTGTATCATATTATAAAAGTAAGATAAAGTGCTTTCTCACATGTTGGTAGCGAATACAAAGTATTTTCATGAATATATTTTAGATGCCTGTATATTGAGTGCAAATTATTAATATTGCTTTGATACATTGCAAATTGCAACCTTTTACATTATTGATCAGTGTAGCTTTATAAATTTTTAAACGGTGTCAACAATGTGATCTCTTTTAGGGAAAATATTATTTGACATTGTGTAAAGTATGAACGGAAAAGATGTCTTGAGAACTACAATACAGTCTGCATGCCCACAATTATAATAATTAAGCCACAATACTACCCCTGCTGTTATTCTTGAAATGTATTAATAAAGGGATTTTAAAGAGAGACCACCATTTTACAACCAGGCATTTCATACTAGCCCCTGAATCATAATGAATTATGACTATGAAGTCATGGCCAAATTGGCAACAGGATGTTTCAAAAGTTCTTTTACCAAATGTTCATTGACTAAACAAGATTTTGTTGTTGACGGATCATGCTATGCAAATTCAGGTCATGCTATGCAAGTTTTTAATGATCTGCATTGTTCAAACCTTTAGAAATGTATTGTCTTTAACCTATTTAGAAGCAGGTTTATTAGCATAGCATGATCAACTGCTATGGCTAGCTTCGCCACTGATTGTAATGAATAATATCACTAAATAAAAAATATCTTGATCATAGATGGATTTTCATATTTATTACTGGGGTGGTGCCAGAAATTTTAGGGGGGTGAGCCGTGAGCAGGTGACTGAAGCAACACAAAATGTCACCAAACCCCAGTAAGGTCTATATTCTAGGGGTGGAGCACTAGAGCCGCAAGGGGGAGACTAGAGAGCAGAAAACAAAGTATCCCAGGAAAAATTTGAAAAAAATCATGATTTCTAGCTTCGAAAAAAAGTTTTTTGAATGCAAGCGAGGAGCGATTAGTTTCAGAGTGTTGCACTGTCTTTTTCTGTTCGAGTGTACTCCTACGTTTATTTTGTATCATCAACATTCTGCACGTTGGAGTGGACTATTTAATTAATTATTTATTATGCCGAATATTGGGGGGGGGGGTTGAAAATTTTTTTAGAGGGGTGGACATTTTGTTTGGGGGGTCATAGCTAACATTGAGGGGGTAGCAACCCCCTGCACCCCCCAGAAAATCCGTCTATGATCTTGATTATGATAAAACCATAATAAAGCTTAAACTAAAGTCACTAAGGCTGTCAGAAATATAGCAAGCAATATAGATTCTGAAAAGTTTGCCTGACCACAGTGGGAATCAAACCCACGACCTTTGGGATATTAGTCCAATGCTCTACCAACTGAGCTATGAGGTCAAGTCGATTCGAGTTGGTGATATTTCGGAACTGAGTCTAGTTCCTTTGATATCAATGTATTCTAAGATATGATACTTTTTTATGATACTTAAGTATCATCGATTCGAAGGAACTAGACTCAGTTCCAAAATATCACCAACTCAAACCGACTTGACCTCGTAGCTCAGTTGGTAGAGCATTGGCCTAGTATCTCAAAGGTTGGGACTTTGATTCCTACCGTGGTCAGGCAAACTTTTCAGCTTGCCCGGCGTGGATGCACACTCAGAGTAACACCACTCAGTTCCAAAATATCACCAACTCAAACCAACTTGACCTCGTAGCTCAGTTGGTAGAGCATTGGACTAGTATCCCAAAGGTTCGGAGTTTGATTCCTACCGTTGTCAGGCAAACTTTTCAACTTGCCCGGTGTGGATCGATGCACACTCAGAGTAACACCACAAACATCATATTCACCTGAGTACATAACACCATAGACAATCCAGAAGACATGTCTTCTGGAATGTCTATGATAACACCAACACACAGAAAAAAGTATAACATAGATTCTATACAATGCTCACCAACGATCCCACAACATACTGTATGCATTTGAACTCTGTGTAGGATTCCTTACAGCTCTACTGATAAAACAATTTTAACCATTAGAATTGATAGCTATAACTCTCCATTAAACATGCAACAACACAAATCAACATGATTAATTGATTATCTCAGAAAAAGTATCTAATATATACAGTATGTCAGTCATTGAATAGCCTGCATGGCAGGCTCATTGAAAGTAGAGCCTGAAACAATCTCATGGAAATTTGATCACCACCCACTAATTACTATGATAATTTATTTCCAATCCAACCAATCATATTCTCTGAAATTTGTGTGTGTGTGATGCTGTGTGAATAATAACTAATATACTTCATTACTGTTATTGTTCATAGAGTAGCTCGAGAATTAAAACTTTTAAAAAACTGGTAGTTTAAATTACTTTTGGAGTAAATAAAACAGAATTTAAACCGGCAACATCGGTTTGGTACATTAGTATGTGAACAATTCACCAGAACAAAACATTTTGACTTGATAAACAGTTTAAATGCTGTTACTCAACACTGACTATTTATATGCCAGAATGGTCTAAACAGCAGACTCAAAAATGCAATAATTCGAGCAATAATTTATGTATTAATAATGAACGGCAACTCAAAAATATTTATATCAAAAGAAAGACAATACCATCTTAGACTTAGGTCCAAACATTACAATAAGTTTCAAAATCAAACATTCCCGATATACCAAAACATTTTTCGGATATATCATATTTTTCCCGGAAACTAAAAAAATTTTCCACAAATAACATAGATTCAAGTTTTCTAAAGTACCCTTTGGCCAAAAAATGCTATCATAATGACATTTTTCACGAAAGAAAAGAGCACTTTGCTCCCGGAAAAAGGGCACTTTGCAAATCTTGGGGGGGGGCTGCCCCCCCCCCCTGCCCCCCTCCCGGTTCCTACGCCCCCTGCATGGATCTGTGAAAAAGTAGATTCACCGTTTTGTATTTTCTTACAAGATGGCATGGGACAATTGAAATATTTCCTCACTTATTATAATAAATATAATAGCAAATAAGATTTCAAAGTGAAACATAATACATGTCTAACAGGGCTGTATGCAGCGGGGAGGGCACAGGGGCACACCCCCTCCCCCCTCCCCCAAGAAAATTTAACTAATTTTATAATGTGATTATAATTGTAAGAGATAATTATTATGCAGTCAAGAAATAAAAATTTCATCCAAACAATATTCGAAGTGTCTATACAGCCGGCTATATTCTGTAAACTGTCACTGGTCAATCCATACTCATTGAACTTTATTGTAATCAATGCATATGAAGACAAAGTTCTGTCACTTGTTGTTTACTCTTGCTAATTAATGTTAACTGTTGAGTAACATACACAAACTATTAGAGGAACATGCTTTACTGTAGCAAAGAGTGTCAATTCCAGTCCTAAGGCTAAGCACAGTTAATGATATACCATTATTTCGTCAAATATTTAAATATAGGAGGCACACAATATCGTAAACAGTATTGTAATAAGGTTTCGAACCTACGAACAAAATATGAATTTACATAAATATTTACCACTAATCCCACATTACAAAGGCCAAATGAAGCATTATTTAACGTACTGTACTTACACTATGGCCTCTCAATAAGTCCAAGTCAAGTATATATGTCTCACCGGACATAGCTTCCACAGTTCTCAACGGAGAATAAACCAGACGTCCAAACAGTTCTCAACGCAGATATAAATTTCAACCTACAACTGTACAAGCCAGAGGAGGTTGGAAGCCCTTCCCGGCATGCATTGTAACTCATTCATATTATCGATTTCCCGGGACGCGCCGTCATTTGTTCGACTGGCTCTCGTTGTGTTTACTACTCAATTTACAAGGAGCGGTATTCAAAAGTACAAATTGAAAATTGTAAATCATGGCGAATTTTCGTACTGTTCGTGGCAACAAAGATACTGATTTGGATGGACGTGACAATATTTATGTACATTGTGTGTCGAAAGAGCGACTGGAGCTGCTTCGTGAAGGGATGTCGAACTTCTAGTTTTATGGATATTAAACGACAACATTTGGGCTTTGGCGTAAAAGTTGACTTATTATATGTTCGCCGAATGCGATAGTCCTTCATTGATATAAATCTATTCTAGTTGTGACCTTAAGGTACGATTATTTTATGATTTAATTGGTGGGAAAATGGGCCATTTATACTCGGAAATCATACAAGACTACAAGTATTTGACTTTATGAGTTTATGTCAAATGAGTCAAATCTATTTTAATATAAAAGCAGGGAGGAGGGGCAAGGGGGGGGGGCAGAAGTGCACTTTGTGTTATAGAAATTCTGCCTGCTAAATCTTATCTCCAGTTTTGGGCAAAGTCATGAGGTGTGAACTTGAATGTGACCTGATTAAGTGTGTTTGTGCAGTTATAGTTCCTTGAGTAGACTTTATTTCCAGAACACAGAACAGCTATCGTCAATGGAACATGCACAATCAGGCTTTCATTGGCAAGTCAACACATAATTATAAAGGTGCCCTTGCCTTTTTATTGTTCCAACGTCCCTGTATAAATGCATCAAATCTTTTTTTACCTGTAGTACTTATGTTGTGTTCTGTTGTGGGAGTTTAACATTATTCCATCACCAACTTCTGTAACAATCTGACCACCCAAGCTGGATATTTTAGAGGATATACTGAATGACCTACCACTGGTGAATTTAGATGAGCCATTGTTATGCAATTGCATTAAACAGCCATTAAATCCTATGTGTCTGGTTAAAATTCATGGTGAAGAGATGCCTGGTGATGTTGAAAGTATTGGTGCAGAAGGTAGAGTTGCAGACATGGACAAGATTGATGAAATTCAGCAGTTGACCCAATTGTTGGGTGTGTAACAGGCTACTGGTGATGCTAAATACATGAATGATTCAAGCTCTGATTAGGAGAATGATGGAGACAAGGATTCTGAAGGACAAGGATTGTGGAGGAGACACATTGTATCCTGAGAATTAAGACAAGGATTGTGGAGGACACTTTGTATCCTGAGAAGTTTGTTGTAGCTGGTTCCTGGCGAGAACAAAGATACCATGCAACTTGTGATAATCATGTATAGATGATCAAAAAATCTCAAGTTGAAATTTAAAGTAGAACATGAGCAAGACATTTTTAGTTGAGATTTTCATATAAATTTATTCCTATTAAAACACTGTTATTATTTCAGGTAAATAGTTGATATTAGTATTTTTGCACAAGTGAACATAACAAATGCTACAAGGTGATTGGTCAAATTTGACGTATTAATCTGTTATATTATAACAAAATCGAAATTTTCAAAATGGCAGCTAGCTGTTTTGTTGAAGTTAGTAATAAAGAAATAAGCGAAATTAAAATGAATTCAGACCAGAAAAATACAAAAAAACTTGTGCAAAAATACTAAAACAATTATTCACCTCAGGCTCTGTGATTATCTGGGAATATTCACCTCAGCAAATATTCCCTGATAATCACCTCGCCTTCGGCGAATAATTGTTAAATATAATTTTACCATTTCTTTTTCAAATAAATAAATGTTTTCAAACTCAATTTGCTGTGTTTGTTTACTGCAGTCATCAAATCCCTACTTTATCTTATAGTCCACCTTGTGCATGTGTTCTTAACACTGTTTTAACTATTGTATATTTAGCACAGATGGATCACTGATCTAAAGATGGATCCAGTATGATGTGGTAGGGAGGGTGCTCTGCCAGCTCTGGTGCCGAGTTGTGTCAGTCAGGTGCACCACCCACCCATCAACTTACTTGACTACAGCAAAGTCTTGCTTGACTACTGTATTGTAATTGTTGTTAACAAACAGTTTACTTATCATCATGTTATTACTCAAATTACTCATTTTGTCTCTAATATTTTTTGCTTTATCATGAAAATACCCCCCCCCCTGCATACCCTCTGGCCAGGGCTAGGTGGGGGGTGCACACACCCCAGTAAATCCACCCCTGATATTGGTCATATAAATGCAGTGGTCATAGATAATTGATGTTAATAAAATGCTTTATTCAAAGTTACAATATATAAAGTAAATACTTAAGATTCATTGCAACATTTTCATGTTACCAATACACCAATATTTACATGTAAAATGTCTACTAAAATATGTATCTATTAAAAGGCTGGTATGGGCAAATTTATATAACAGGTTGCTCTTATTATTCTGGTTCAATAGTTTCATTGCTTGAATCAGTTGAATGGATCATGAGCACAACTTGGCTGGATTAGATGTTATACCATTGCCAAAGCAGGATGTAGGAACAGTTTGCTCAATAACAGTTCTAAATCAGCATTAAATTCATAAGTTCAACTTTTCCCATACTTAGGATCAACAATATAAACAACATTGCCATCATCAGATTCCATTTTCACAAAATATATTCGAATTCTATAAAAATAATGGTAAAATACAGTGTATTTAACTTAAAAGCAGCAGTTAAACTCAACAACGATCGACATATATGCGCATGCTTCGAAATAAAACAAAAATAATAACGACTCGTACAGTAATTTTCCTCGCGCCA